GCTCGTGCCCCAGCCTGATTGCGATTTGCGAGCCACCTTGTCAGCAGTCCCTATTAGCTCTTCAACGGAGGCCAGTCTGAAATGATCCCCAAAGCCCTTTTTAAGGATCAGCATTATGGACTCCACGGCCTCATAATAACCTTTGAGCGAGCCGTCCCCAGCCAGATCAAGCAAGAACTCACGGCCGACCAGCATTCGCTCCAAGAGCCTCACCCCATGACCCAGCCGCGCCTTCTTAGGTTGCCGGCGAAGCTCCTCCTCAAAAACATCACCGACAGCCCCACGGAAATAGTTCTGAGCGGCTAACTCAAACCTAGACGTCTTCTCATACTCCACAGTATCCAACTTCCAGGAGGGGAGAGCGGCATCAGTCTGTCCTGCACCTGCTTCGGGAGCCGAGGTGGAGGTAGGCTTGAAGGAGATGTTGTGCTTCTCAGCCAACGACAGTTTGCTAAGGGCCACGTCCAGTGCGGCTTGGAGTTCCTGCTTCTCTTGGGCGGCAACCTCCCTCTCCCGCCGAGCAGCCTCATGTGCTGCCTCGAGAGATCTCAATGTGCCCTCAGAAGGAGGAAAATAACCGTCACAGAGAAACGGGCGGTACCTATTCCCGCCTTGGCAAACACCCCAAAAGTGAGGCAAAGCTCCATATGCTCAGAGCCCTCTTCCTTGACTTTTTTGATTGTCGTCTCGAGTTCGTCAATAAGATGTGGCGGATACCCATTCCACCGCACGAGGAGCTAACCCTCGGGGAAGCGTAGGAAGAAGAACCGATATTTCTAGTCATGAATGGAGGTGGGGTCCCCATGGAACAACCTCACAGGGTACCCCCCAGGGTAACTCACAACCTAACAGGAAGCCCAACAGCTAGCGTCAGGACGATCGGCGGGAGGCTGAGGTCAAAGACATAGATTTTCGTCACAGTGACAAGCGACCCGAAACGTCCCTCGGGACGATTGGTTCCAAGAACAAATTGGATATCAAGATGATCTTCGGGGGTGCAGAGACCGGGGATACCCCAGCAGAGAGGAAGAAATTCGAAAGGGCACTCCAAATCAATTCCATCTCCGCGCCTCTAGCCAAGAAGCACAAGGTCGAGTGATAAGTCCATTTTTGTACTTACTTTTGTAATCAAGTTTAAGAGATTTTTGGATTGAAAATATAAAAGCAAGACATGTTTTATATATTTTGGTTCAAGTTTCATGAAATCATGTAAAAATCACATTCATAACATGTTTGGCGAAATTTCGGGTCAATTGCATGAAGAAAATGACATTTTTTGCCAACAAATCAATTACTACGGAGGTTTGCAAGATATATTGACAAAATTTTAGATGAGAAGAGTCAAAGAGAGGAAGAAATCATGCAAGGAAGCTCAAAAACCAAGAAGGGGTCGCCTATATGGCCACTTTTGATGAAAATGAACGATGCATAAAGACACATGTTCGTATTTTGATCATAACTTGGCGCATGATTGCCCAAAGTTTGTGATACCAGTTGCATTACATTTACATCTTCTGTATCTACAACTTTTATGAAGAACATATAACCAAATAACAATCGTAGAATGAACATATTGCTCAAAGAAGTCAGACATTTGCAGTTGCGATGGAAAGTAACACGGGCTTACCGTTTTGGTCATATCTCATAAACTAAAAATACAGTGCAGGTAATTCAAATTCCAGTAGTTAGCCAATAAAGATAACTACAACTTTTGTGAAGACAACTTTTCCATTTGACGTGAGGCGGTCGATAAGGCGGTCACCTTTCTGGGCGCCTACGAGTATTTGACGGTTTCAGCACACAACACTTTGAATGGCGACAAAATAATGAAAGGCAGCTGACAGGGGATAGAGGGCGGCCGCCCTTCGTGGCCGTCTGCGGAGGGATGTGGCTTTTGAGCTGCCGGTTGCTGAGACAAGACGGGAGGCGGCCAAAAAGGCGGCAGCCCTCCATGGGCGCCTGCGGCGGATTTGATGCGTGCACGTAGCTTTGTGGGTGATTTGATGGAAGGCTGCCGACCATGGACGGAGGGCGGCCGCCCTTCTGGACGCCTGCCACAAATATCCGGCTATAAAAGCCCTCTTCCATCCTCAACTCAAAACACGCCATCTTACCTTCAACTTCAATCTTTCATATCTTTCTCATTTTAGCTCCAATTTGTAAGTTCTTTATATGAAAATTCATCTTCTCGTTGTGTAGATCTGAATATGTTGTTTTTATTTTCCAAATGTTGGTGAAACATTACCTGCATTAATTTTAAGAATTTCGTATTTTCCATTTTTGTTCAAGAAAAATAGTTCTTGTTGTTATATTAATCTCCTACTTAGATAAACTCAATACCTAGTATAAATCAAGAAACTCCTCCGCCATTCCTCAAGACACACGATCCTCGGGGAAAAACCGAAAGGTAAGACTCCGTTTTACTACAACGCCGCGTAAGCGGTTATCATCGAGCATATTGTATTCGGACCGGCGGACTTGCCCCAATCACTAGGGCCACACAGGTATGAGTTGGTGATTAGCATGGATGTCAGTGATTGGATCATTCGGCGAGTCCTGGTTGACACAGGCAGCAGCGTCAACGTCCTGTACTGGGACATTTTCGAAATAATGCATCTGAGCAGGACTGAACTGACCCCCTTACGGACACCCTTGGCCAGGTTCCCGGTCACATCATTGAGGCTGAAGGAACAATTGTCCTTCCGGTAGAGATTGGAGATGGAGAACACCGTGTGACGATCCCCATGACATTTGTGGTCGTGCGGCTGAAGTGTACCCACAATGCCATTCTGGGGAGGCCAGGGCTGGAAGACCTGGAGGCTATCTGCTTCGTATGGCATTCCTGCATCAAATTCCACACGGAGACATGAGTGGGTGTAGCCCGTACGGACCCAGACGCAGCAAGGTCCTGCTACAAAGAGGCCGTGAAAAAGATGACCGACCGGGGTATGAAGGTCAATAGCATCGCTGAGACCGCTCGGCAGGAAGATGCCTTATCCCGAGCAGAGCCGGCAACGCTGCTTGAGGAGATAGAACTAGACAATCCTTCTGATCGGAAGGTATCCGTTGGGATTGGGTTGGAGCCCGAGATCCGAGAGGGCGTGATCTTGGTCCTCCGAAGGTTCAAGATCTTGTTCGCTAGGGGACCGGAGGACATGCCGGGGATTGACCCAGAAATTATCTACCATAAGCTGGTCGTTCAGCTGGATGCCAGGCCGATACAACAGAAGAAGAGATACATGGCGGTCGAACGGAGAGACTTCATAAAGGTGGATGTCACCACCTTACTCAGCATACGCCACATCCGGCCAATCATGCACGTGGAGTGGCTATTCAACGTTGTTCTGGCTCCCAAGGGGCCTACTTGGCGGATGTGCGTCGACTACTCCGACCTCAACAAGGCCTGCCCAATGGATCTTTATCCCATGTCGAGGATCGATCTATTGGTGGATGAAACCACAGGGTGTGAGCTGCTCAGCTTCATGGATGCTTTCGAGGGTATCACCAAGTGTTCATGCACCCGGACGATGCTGAGAAGACTGCATTTGTCACATCGGACGGGGTGTACTGCTATGTTGTCATGCCGTTCGGACTGAGGAACGCGATGCGGACCTTCCAGAGGATGATCGGGATATTGTTCAAGGAAGTCCTTGGCAAAATGATGGAGGCCTACGTGGATGATATCCTGATCAAAAGCAGAAAAAAGGAAAACCACATCCAGGATATGGAGAAGGTCTTCACCATCATGGACGGGGTGAACATGAGGCTGAACCTGAAGAAGTGTGCTTTTTCCGTCGGGGGGGGGGGGGGGGGGGGGGGTCCCTGGTTACATGATGAGTGAACGGGGGATTGAACCTAATCCAGAGAAGGTAAAGGCCATCATGGACATGGAGGCACCCAGAAATTTGAAGGATGTGCAGAGACTCACCAGCCGTCTGGCAGCTCTGAGCCGATTCATGTCAAACCTGGTGGACCGGGCAATTCCCTTTTTCCAGATAATGAAGAAAGTGAACCCCTTTGACTGGACCTCGGAGTGCCAGGTGGCCTTCGAAGACTTCAAGACGTACCTCTCCTCGCCACTCGTCCTCACCAAAGCGGACCCCGGGGAGCAGTTGTACATGTATTTGACTGTGGCCGATCTGGCGGTGAGCTCCGTTCTGATAAAGGAAGAGGAGGGGGTTCAGCGACCGATATACTTCGTGAGCAAGGCGTTGAATGGCCCAGAAACCAGGTACACACTGATGGAGAAGATGATCCTTGCCTTGATTGCATCGATCAAGCGCTTGGCACTGTACTTCTAGGCACACCCAGTGACGATGTTCACAACTCAGCCCCTCGCCACCATCCTCGGGAATTCTATGGCAAGTGGGAGGATTACCAAGTGGTCCCTAATGATCGGGATAGTACAATGTATAATTCAAGCCAAGGCTGACAATCAAGAGGCAAGCACTGGCAGACTTCATCGCCGAATGCACGGCACACACTGAGGATGGAAACATGGCAGCAATGAATTTGACAATTGGGGGGTGCAGTCATCACTTCCCCCGAAGGCTTCAGGGCCTACTACACCATGAAGTTTGATTTCAAGGTTACCAACAACGAGGCTGAGTATGAGGCGCTTATTGCAGGTCTAAATTACGTAAAGACGGATGAACCTCCGGAAGGGCTCCGTGGATCAAGAGACGAGCCCCAAGATTCGAACTTATCTATGGGGAACTATATACGAAGACATTCGGCGGTCCTTACCTCCGGTGCTTACCCCCGAACCTCGCCGCAGCGATCATGGAAAAGATTCACGAAGGCATCTGCTCCAGCCACCAGGGGCCGCGGACATTGGCATGGAAGATCATCCTGCAGGGTTACTACTGGCCGACCATCCAGCGGAACTGCTTCAACCACACCCAGAAATGTGTAGTGTGCCAGCAGTACGCACCTATGCCGGGAAGGCCGGCTAGCTTCTATACCCCGATGACCTTCACGAGACGGGGCATAGATTTGCTAGGACCTCTACCTAGGACGACCGGTGGTAAGAAGTTTATAATCGTGGCCATCGATTACTTTACAAAATGGGTAGAGGCGGAGTCCTTGGCAAATATCACTGAATTCCAGTGCCAATGATATGCACTAGTTTATAGTGCATAAATGTATGTTTTTATGTTGATTGAGTGTGGATTTTCCATCGCTTTTAGTTAGTTTGTAAGTACTTGTTTTATTTTGTTTGTAATTGTTTTCTCCTTCTTTTCGTAGTTATAGAATAGTGATAGAGTTTGTAGCAAGGAAAAGGGGAGAAAAGCTGAAGACAAAAATACCCAGGAGCAGAAAAACCCGACCGGGTCAGACCTTGAACCCGGTCGGGTCAGTTGAAGACCGAATCTAAGAAGAAAAAGTAAGACCCGGTCGGGTCCCTTACTCGACCCGGTCGGGTCAGATATGACCCGGAACACCAGAACATGCTGAAGATCACAAAGATTTGGAAAAATCTGATTTAGACCAAACCTGGTCGGGTCCCTTACTTGACCCGGTTGGGTCTGACTTGACCCGGGACAAATTAACGTGCTAGAACACAAAAACGTGGAAGGTTTGGTGATCCTCGGTCAACCATATATATGGAAGTATATTATGAGTAATTCACTCAATAACAAACAGATATGGAGAATATTACGTATCACATATAAGGAGAATATTTGATTCTCCTAATATAAGCAGCCAACGAACATTATGTAGCAATCAACATATTTATATAATCAATGATCAGTCCTTTTTAACAAGTTTGAATATGTAACGATCATATAAGTAAGATATTCAAATAAGATGCTACAGATCATGCAACCCAAGATACTTTCCAAAATTTATGACTTTTTAACATTAAGTGATGAGGAAATATTTACTCAGTGGATCTAAATATGCTACGGTCAATTTGTGCAGGATATTTACGAAGCATAAATAATGATTCTTTCCATAAGCTATATAAGTCAACTCATAGAGGTGAGTGCTTAATCGTATACGGAAGGATATATAAATTGTGCCACGTGTACTAGGAATATGCATGATCAATTAGGCATGTAGATGAGGTATTATCATGCAGATACATATTAATTTATTCATTATGCACAACAGTAGATCAGAACTAAGTATAGTTCCAATTCTCGTTTGCTGAGAGCAGTTCTGTCCGCCATTCCACCTACATGGTTAGTCATCAACAAAACAACATATTCAACAATATCCACACGGGACGGTGGAAATTCAGGACCTGGAGACGGGAGAGGTGCTGAAAGTGAACGGACAGAGATTAAAACCCTTCTTTGAGGGTTTTCAACCCAAAAATGGGGAAGTCGTAGACCTTTCTGAACCGGTCTACGAATGAGGAACAACAGAAGATATCGTCGAGCCACGACGTTAAATAAAGCGCTTCTTGGGAGGCAACCCATGCACGGTATATGTTTCTTCTCTTTTTTATTTTTTTTTCGTAGAGTGTGTGTGTAAAAAAAAAATAAATAAATAAATAAAAATAATTGGAGTATACCCGGCCGGGTATCATAATTCACCCGGTCGGGTATTACAGAAATACAGGGATACCCGCAAGGCTACCTGGGTGGGGGAACGAAAAATTGAAAAAAAGGAAGAAAACCCGACCGGGTATGTGAGTTCACCCGGTCGGGTATTACAGACAAACAGAGACACCCGCACGGCTACCCGGGTGGGGGAGCGAAAAAATTGAAAAAAAAGAGGAAAACCCGACCGGGTATGTTATTTCACCCGATCGGGTATCAACCACCAGACTTCTCTGGTTAAGAACACAGCTTACCCGACCGGGTCAAATAAGGAGACCCGACTGGGTATCCAGCCAAAAAACATTCTGCCAGCCTCTGGAACGCTGACCCGACCGGGTAAATAAGGGGACCCGACCGGGTCAACGACTTTTCAGCCTATGCCAGGTCGGGCCTCTCACCTTCTTCCCCATTTTCTCTCCCCAATTTCGAACAAACCCTCCCCAAACCTCCATTTTCATCCACCAAAACTTCCAAATCCCCCCATTCCCACACCAAATTCATCAAAAACATCATATTCTTCATCTCCTCACCTCCCTCTTCCACCCTACACCAATTAATCCCTCCAAAATCCCCCAAATCAACCAAACTCATAAACCCTACCCCAAATTTCGAACCTCTCCATTTTCGGACATTCAAGGTCAAATTTCAAGCCAAATTCTCCAACAAACACCAAATACCTCTTCTCCTCATCATCCTCTACAAAACCATACCACTCACCCTCACCAAACCTCACCTCCCCAAAAAAAATCAAAAACCCTTCACAAAAAAAGGGGGAAAACAATTCCTTGGCACCAAAAAAGGGAAGAGCTTCTTCTTCAAGAGCTCCAAGAGCTATTCCACCCATCGAGGGCTTTGAATCCGTGGAGTTTGAGACCGAAGCACAACGCACCTGCTTCCTTGAGCAATCCGAACGAGAGGTAAAACCCTCCCGCTTTCTATGCCAATTGACATTAACGATGTTCTGGATTCATGATATTATGAGAGAGATATTCCAAAGGTGTGGCATGCTTAAAATGTTTGATATGCATTATTGGCCATATTCTCGTTTGGTGTATGAATTTTACAGTTCCGTTGAGCATGTGAAAGATGAAAATGATCACACAAATAACACGATCAACTTTCGTTTGCTCAACGAGAACCGCTCACTCACCAAACGAGAATTCGTTGAACACTTCGGCCTACCTTTGCTTGATGACACGGTAGCGTATAGTTCACCGGTGGCCTATGAACTATGGAGAAGAATGACCGGAATTGTCAAGGTTCGTACCTCCCACCTCAATGTCAACCATGTCCAACACCCGGTCTTCCGAATTTTCTTAAAATTCTTGGCTAATTGCTTTTTCGGAAGACCAAACAACCATCAAACTAGGGTGTGGGATGTATGCCTCTTAGCACAAGCTGTTCTTCCGGGTGCCAGGCCATATGATGTGACCACAGTTTTTTGGGATCACATCATCAATGTTAAAAATGGTGGAGGAAAAATTCTGATAGGGGGTCTAATTACCCACATTGCCACACTATATGGTTTTGTATGCAATGGTGCACAAAACCACAGGACCCTTCTTGCCTTCAATTTTTAAAGAATGCTGGCGATGTGACCCTCTCACACATCGAACATGATGGCCTAGAAATCTACAATTGGCACATCAAACCCGGCCAAGAACTATACTACCCCTTCCCTTCCGAAAACCTCCCGCTTAACATCATCGATCACCAAATCGGTGATGGACACCACTATTGTATGCCCGGGGGAATTCCACCACATTTTGCACCCCCAGAAAATGAGGCAGGGGACAATGAAGCCGCCAATAAACAGCCTGCACTTGAAGCACCACCCATCATTCCCGAACAACCTCACCCACAACCCCATGCTCATCAATACTCTCCATTTGAGCAAGAAATGCTAAACAGCATGAATGCTCTTAACCTCAATTACACCCAACTTCGGGAGGAAATCGGGCTGTACAGAAATGAGCAAAGGCACAGCTTCGAGAGGATTGAAGAACAAAGGCGAGAAGATTGGCACCGATATGAAGAGGACCAAAGGAGGACTTTTGGGCCTATCTACTCCTATATCGCGCATCAGGGAAACTTCACCTCCATGACCACCCCTCCTCCGGCACCTTCATGGTACAACCCCACTGAATGAGGTTATTTTGGTGGCTCGACCTCTAGTGGTGGAGGTGGGGAAGACGGATAAAGCGGGGATCATATGGACGAGGATACACAGTATAGGGGCTATGGAGGATTTTTCGATGGCGGAGATGCGGGCGGGCACTAGGGACTGTGCCACAGACTAGTGGTGGGGGAGATCTTCCCGGTATGTTCACATTCACACTCTTTATTCTTGTTATCTCTATAAAAAAACATCAAATAAACGAAAGCTTGTTAAGTTGAAAACCCACAAAAGGGCAGCTTAAGCAAAAATAAAGCAAAAATAAGAGTGAGTTTGTGAGATTTGTGAAAAATAAAAAAATAAAAAAATGTGGGAAGCTGGGTTGAAAACCTGAAAGGGCACCTAGGAAAAATGAGAGAATGAGAGAATGAGAGAAAGTTATTTCTTTTGATTTTGCAGGATCCTGAGGGTGATTACTATAGAGAGTTCGTCGGATTGAAATTGAAGACCCATCTTTACTCTTTTTGTTTTGGAGATACTTTATGTATTTGTTATAAACACTTGTGGATGTTGGTGTTGCTACTCTTGTCAATTAAGGACTTCTTGGACAGAATTTGTTTTACTCGAGACTAGTAAAAATTCAAGTGTGGGGGTGTTTGATATGCACTAGTTTATAGTGCATAAATGTATGTTTTTATGTTGATTGAGTGTGGATTTTCCATCGCTTTTAGTTAGTTTGTAAGTACTTGTTTTATTTTGTTTGTAATTGTTTTCTCCTTCTTTTCGTAGTTATAGAATAGTGATAGAGTTTGTAGCAAGGAAAAGGGGAGAAAAGCTGAAGACAAAAATACCCAGGAGCACAAAAACCCGACCGGGTCAGACCTTGAACCCGGTCGGGTCAGTTGAAGACCGGATCTAAGAAGAAAAAGTAAGACCCGGTCGGGTCCCTTACTCGACCCGGTCGGGTCAGATATGACCCGGAACACCAGAACATGCTGAAGATCACAAAGATTTGGAAAAATCTGATTTAGACCAAACCCGGTCGGGTCCCTTACTTGACCCGGTCGGGTCTGACTTGACCCGGGACAAATTAACGTGCTGGAACACAAAAACGTGGAAGATTATCTGATTTTGACCAGTACCCGGTCGGGTATGTACCTATACCCGGTCGGGTACCCGGCCAAAGGTGTTGAAAAACACCTATAAATAGCACTCTTTTTCTCCTCTAAAAATATCCCTTCTTCCATTCTCTTTAGCTCAGTTTAGAATAGCATTTCTTTATATTTTTCTAGCTATGTTTAACCTCCAAATGAGGAGCTAAACTTCCATTCTTCGTTTTGCTCTTGAAGCTTGTTAATAATTAAAGTTGTGAGTTATTTTCTTAACTTCTTCTCTTGATTATTAATTCTTCCCTTAATCTCATTCTATATTAATGTTGGAGGGTTGCTAAGTGACGATTAGTTAACGTTCCGACATTAATTACTACTAGAAACGATCAACGAACCGATGGTTAATCGTTGGTGGTTTCATAAGTAAGTAACTTCGGTTTATTAATGCACGGTCGTGGTTTATAAACTTAAGAGGGATCAATTTTGTTGGTTAAACCGAAACCGTTGTGTTAAGGTTATCAATCTCAATTGATTTCATCAAGGAGTTAAAAAGATTGAATGCTACTATTATATCGGTATACGGCGTTGTTCTATATTTGATTAATAGTAAGGGTTATTAATGAACGGTCGTTGTTAATAACTACCCTCGATGAATTGGAGATACTCCTCGGTTGAGTATTCGAGAGGGGATAAGTTACAGATATAACAAGGATCGACTAAAATATATCAACAAGTGGAAAGTAGCAAAGCCAAGTCCCTTTTATTCTTGAATTAAACACATATAGGTTGTTCATCTTAGTTCTTAATTAAATTAAATCACTCAATCCAAATCCCCCCTTTTATTTACTAAGTATCATAAAAAGAGCAATATTCCTTTCCCTGTGGATACGAACTCTACTACGCTATACTACGTATAAGTGTTTAGTATTGAAATTATTTTGACGTACCGTGACAAAGTGCTCGTCAGCCAACGCTTTGTCTGGCAAAACATCTTATGCCGCTTCGGCATCCCGGAACAGATCATCACAGACAACGGTCGGCAGTTCGTCGGCAAAGGCTTTGAAGCATACCTAGCCAAATGGGGCATCAGACACTCCAAAGCTTCAGTTGCATACCTGCAGACCAAAGGCCAGGTAGAAAACATGAAACGGACCATCATGGACGGAATCAAGAAGAAACTGGAAGATTATTCCTCAACATGGCCGGAACAGCTGAATTACGTCTTATGGACGTACAGGATGACCCCGAGGAAAGTGGCCGAGGAAACTCCTTTCGCACTGACATACGGGTTCCAGGCCAAAGTCCCCACGAAGGTACTCGTGCCCACACACTAGACGATACATTTCCAGCCGGAATGAAATGAGGAGAACCTACGGGCCGAGCTGCACTTCATTGAGGAATACCACCGGGCCACCGAAAGGTATTTCAACAAAGCAGTCAAAGTTGGGGAGATCGAGGTCGGGGACCTAGTGCTTCGGAAACGAGAGAAGAGTAAGCCGCTTGAAGGCGGAAAAATGGCCAAAAACTGGGAAGGACCATACAGGGTTTACAAGGAGTTTGCCATGGGGACGTTCCTCCTCCAAACCATGGAAGGGCGCTTCACTGGCACATGGAACGTAGAACATCTGAAGAAATTCTACCACTAACTCACTCAAATTCCTTCCACCCCAAAAAAGGGGAAGAGGGAGACATAACTCCCAGAGAAGGGGAATCCCTAAAGGAGATAAACCCGTTTCCCATCACAATCGCGGCTTAGCTCAGCCCAGGATCCAAAGGACCGGGCTAAAGGGCGGGTAAGACGAGCGGATGGCGAAACGAAGAAATGGGGAATCCCTAAAGGGGATAAACCTGTTTCCCATCACAATCGCGGCTTAGCTCAGCTCAGGATCCAAAGGACCGGGCTAAAGGGCGGGTAAGACGAGCGGATGGTGAAACGAAGGAATGGGGAATCCCCAAAGGGGATAAACTCGTTTCCCATCACAAATCGTGGCTTAGCTCAGGTCAGGATCCAAAGGACCGGGCTAAAGGGCGGGTAAGACGAGCGGATGGTGAAACGAAGGAATGGGGAATCCCCTAAGGGGATAAACCCGTTTCCCATCACAAATCGTGGCTTAGCTCAGCTCAGGATCCAAAGGACCGAGCTAAAGGGCGGGTAAGACGAGCGGATGGCGACACAAAGAAAAGCCCAAAAAAGGGTTGGGGAATCCGCAATGCGGATAAACCCGCTCCTCACCGATTACGGCGACTTAGCTCAAGCTCAGGATCTAAAGGACCGGGCTAAAGGGCGGGTACGACGAACGAATGACGGAGCAAAGAATCAGGAAATCCCCAAAGGGGATAAAACCATTCCTCGCCAACTTCGGCGACTTAACTCAAGCTCAGGATCCAAAGGACCGGGCTAAAGGGCGGGTATGACGAACGGATGACGGAGCAAAGAATCAGGAAATCCCCGAAGGGGATAAAACCATTCCTCACCAATTTCGGCGACTTAGCTCAAGTTTAGGATCCAAAGGACCAGGCTAAAGGGCGGGTACGATGCACGGATGACGGAGCAAAGAATCAGGAAATCCCCAAAGGGGATAAAACCGTTCGTCACCAACTTCGGTGACTTAGCTCAAGCTCAGGATCCAAAGGACCGGGCTAAAGGGCGGGTACGACGAATGGATGACAAAAAAAGATAACAACACTGGAGGAAGAAAAGGCGATCATAATAAATAAAACACTGGGTCTTTTTCATTGGCTCTATCGGCCGGAAAATACATATCATACACGAGTTCGGAGTGATATCAGAATGCCAACAGTGAAAGCTGTCATGTTATATTGCCCAAGTCAGGGAGTACGCCCTTATCTCTATAAGTCTCACCAAGATCCGGCCAGAGGGATTGTTCATGGCGGGATGATTAGGGAGCAGTTAATTGAGTTGAGAAGGTCAACAGGGCTGCAGAACTTGACAAGCTCCCCCAGCTAAGCGGAAGGGCCGCCCTTCTCCCCGCTTCCCTTTGTGGTTGATTTTGGAGGAGCTTCAGAGCTCCTTCATGAGCCTCGGTGAACAAAGCGTTGAGTCAGCAACTTCAAGATCAAAGGGAGCATGGAAGTAACGCTCAACAAACGGGAGATTGCCCGCCACAAGGCCGATCATCCCCTTGGCGTAAGAATCATCAGCGAGCTCCTCGAGGAACTCCCGACCTGTAGGAGTCTTCGATGGCAACCCTATGCCGTCCTGCAACAGGTCGGGGCTCTTGGCCAGGTACTCCCCGAGATTCTGGGCGAGATGCATCTTCGCTCGAACGTCCACGACATCAACATAGGCCTTGGATTTTTGAAACTTGATGGATCCAGCATTCTTGATCTTGGAAACATCATCCTTAAAGGTTAGTCACAATTTCATTTATCTTTGAATATTTATTTCATAACAACATTAATCTGTGTACCACTTTTATTTTACTTTGCAGATTTCTTGGAGAGTTGAAAAAGAAAGTGACCAACGCTCTCATCTTTTTATTTTGAGCGTGAAGTCATCACTAGAAGAAAGAGACCTGCCCGAAACGATGACATTGGCGAGGATTTATATGAAAATGTAGTTTCCATTTTCAATTACCTAGGTAGAGGTAAAGGAGCTTGGACAAACCGATACATCGTGGGAAAAGAATTACAAATTGCGCATACTTATATGCTCATTAATTGTCCAGAAATCTTACCGTTTTATCAGTAAGTTAAATTTGTAGTTATCTTTGTAATATATATACAATTAATGTAGTTGATTTATAATATTTTCATGTTTGACTTTATAGTGAATTTAGAGCGGAGTACTCAGCATTCCCTGACAATGAAATTGATGCATTGGTGCTCTTTTCTTCATTATTATTGTAGTCCAACAATATTTGAATTTTTTTATTCATCATTATTAAAAGATAAGCACGAAACGCACAATTTTTTTATCACAATCAACTAACGAAACATTAATCATTTATCTTAATAACCAAACAAACAAATATAAAATTATTCATCAATATCAAAACTTTCAAAAGGCCTAGCCAACAACTCGTTAATTTTCCTTTCAGCTTCTTCGTTGATCGGATCCATATACTCCGAACATTCTTCTGCAGGTTGAAGCATCCGACACAAGTTGTTTGCTTTTGACTTGCCGAGTGAGTCGGATTCCTCATCTTTATAGTCGTCAAAACTTTCAAGGGGTCTAGCCATCAACTCCGTGATTCTCTGGTATGCTTCAACGGTTTTCGGCTCCATAAGCTGTGTAATTAGCTTGAGTCGTTTCATAGCTCTGCACATCGAATCCCAGTCAATTGGTTCTCGATTAGCCATTTTTTACACAAACATTGGACCGGCATCATCTATTTATACTCAAAAATCGAATATAATAAAGTGGAATTTATTCCACTGTCGCCTGTCGTCGGCCTGCCCGAGGTGAACGGTTGGATGGAAAGTATTTAGTCACGGACCCGTCCGTGACTAGATCCGTGAATAATTCAAAAAATCGGACAGGTCCGTGACTAATTCAAAAAAATTTGAATTTTTGAATTAGTCACGGACCTAGTCACGGACCGTCCGTGACTAAGGCGGTCAAAGGTGGCCCTGACACCTCGTCTGCCGCGCGTCTGACTTCGTTATTTACGACGGCTAGTCACGGATAAATCCGTGACTACGTCCGTGACTACGCCTTCATATAAAATCAATACTTAGCTAATTTTTCATTCCGCATACTCTCCAACCCAAAACCCTACCTCTTTCTCCCTAACTCTTCTACACTCCACCGATCTCAACCTCCAACTCCGCCTTCCACCGTTCGCTGCCGCCGTTCGCTGCTGCCGTTTGCTGCCGTCGTTTGCTGCCGCCGTTCGCTGCTGCCTTTCGCCGCCGCCGTTCGCTGCCGCCGTTCGCTGCCACCGTCTTCTTCCACTGTCGGCCGCCTCCTTCGTTTTTCATAAAGGTTATGTATTCTAAATTTTATTTACCTTTAATTCTTGTTTTTAGTATTTGATTTTTATTTCAAAAAATGCATGTTACGATAAGTGTGTTCCCATTATTCTCAAATTGTTTAATATGATTTAGTTAATATGCTCAAATTGATTTATGTATATGTAATTTGATTGCAGTACATGTTATAATTTGATTTTAGTTAGTATCTCAAATTGATGCATGTGGAGTAATATGATTTCGAATTATAATTTCATTTAGTTTATAATATTCCTTTAATTTTAGAATTGAAATACATGTTAATATAGATTAGTTTTCGAAATACTTGTTTTCTGTACATGTTATTAAATTCATTTTTGTATACATGTTATTAATTAATATTATAAGCACACGTTTTTTGAAATACATGTTATAAGCACACGTTTTTTCGAAATACATGGTAATATATTCAATTTATTACATGTTCTATATGCTCAATATAACATGAGTTAGTTTAATTAATACGTATGCCTAATTACATTATATTACATTATATTCCCAAATTAATTAAAGAAATACCCCTCGTGTTAAACCTTCAAAAACGTTTAACATGTTAATTATAAAATATTAAGTTAGACATTAAAAACAGTTTTCTCAAATTTAATATAAAATATAGACTATGAAAAAACATTGTTTAATAAATAAACCGTTTTAATTAAAAAGTTTTCCCGAAGTAATTAAAAATATATCTCCTCATGTCAAACTTCCAAAAAAGTTTAACATGTTAATAATTATAAAGTATTGAGTTAGACATTAAAAACAGTTCTTAAATTTAGTATAAAATGTAGACTATAAAAAGACAATGTTTAATAAATAAATTGTTTTAACTGTTTTAATTTAAAAGTTCTTCTGAATTAATTAAAAAAAATACCCCTCATGTCAAACTTCCAAAAAAGTTGGACATGTTAATTATAACATATTGAGTTAGACATTAATATAGAATATTCATTATACCAAAAAACTGTTTTTACACAAAACTGTTTTTATTTTTTTTATACAACTGTTTTTTATACAACTGTTTTTTATACAACTGTTTTTTATACAACTGTTTATAAAAAGCTGTTTATAAAAACCTGTTTATAAAAAACTGTTTATAAAAAACTGTTTATAAAAAAACTGTTTATAAAAAACTGTTTATAAAAAACTGTTTATAAAAATCTGTTTATAAAAACCTGTTTATAAAAAACTGTTTATAAAAAACTGTTTATAAAAAACTGTTTATAAAAAAACTGTTTATAAAAAACTGCTTTTATATAAAATGTTTATAAAAAAATGCTTTTATATAAAATGTTTATAAAAAACTGTATATAAAAAACTGCTTTTATATAAAATGTTTTTTATAAATTTAAATACGAAAACCTATTTAAGATTTCAACCAAAATTTGATCTTCTATTATATTTACACTATTATTTGAAAATGTAAATTAATACTCCTCATTAATCAATTATTTTAGATGAGCAATGAACAATCGACCTCCCGTGCTCGCCTGAACTATGCGCCCTTAACCCAAGCCGAGCGCAACAATGAAGATTCAGAATGGGTGACACCTCACATGATTGCTAATAAGTAACTTTGAACTTTATCTAATGTCAAATAATTTTATCTAATGTCAAATAATCTAACCAGATGGATATAAAAAAATATCATTAATTTTTTGAAGCGATCAAGATGTGCTCAACCAAATCAAAATCATAATTGGTGGACACTTTCTTGGCAACTGGGCTACGTACACGGATGTTGACCCCAAGATCCGTGAACTTTAGTGGAACTTGTTCAAGGTAAAGAAATGAATTTTTCGTTATTGATGTAACCTAAAATTTGACAAATGATAAGTTAATTTATTTTTTTAATAAAGGCCCGGTTTCGCTGGATTGAAGAACAAGGCTCCGCTATTCTAAGGGCGTACAATGCCAGGATTTCAAACTGGCTTCGTCCCACTTTTAAGCGTGCCCGAGCCAGTGGAGTAAGGCCTCAATGGTGTTCGGATGAGGTATGGGAAAACCTCGTCCGCCACTGGTCTTCGGATCCGACTTTCTTGGCTAGAAGCGAAGCCGGGAAGAAAAATCGGATGTCCGAGAAGGCATTGACGACACAATGGCACGAAGGCCGCAAACCTCAGAGTAAACATAAAGAAGCTCTTGTAAGTCTTATTCAAATAAACCTTACACCATTTTAACCCTTTATTTTTTTACATTTATTTAAACCTTTTTCGAACCTTGTAGGCGGGGCCTCAAAAGAAGAGGGTCTCTATCCTCAAGGTCATCAAACACTGTTGGACGAAGAACGGTGATGAGTCGGAAGCCAATCTACCACCCCGCCTTGCTGAAATCGAAGTATGTAACATCAATATTATTATTTCAAATCGAAGTAAATATCATTTGAATAATTTTTTAAATGTTTGTAGACAAAGTATAACGCAAATGTTGAAAAGAAGCGGGCGGAACTAGGCTTGACTCAAGAAGATGACATCGATTCTGATGTGGAAGATGATGCGATCCTTGAGGCAGCAGGGGTGTACAAGGGTCGGCTTCCGTGCCTCGGGGCTGAGGGGCAACGTATTTTGTACGATCGTAGCGGCAGCGGAGCTTCATCATCTTCTCGATCTAGGCGAGGAGAGGATCCACACATTGCCCAATTGCAGCGAGAATTGGAGGAGCAGCAGCGGGCATTTGAACAGCAACGGAAGAATGATGAAGAAACAAGGGCCCGGCTGGAAGCAATGGAACGGATCCTTATCGGATATCAGCCTCCGTCTCAGCCTCTTCCTCGGCCGTACATGTTGCACGTTGAGCAGACTCCTCAGGTTCCGCACATGGGTAATATGGGTTACCACTCTAACTCCGGTTATGGTGCCATGCCTGCAATAGGGTCGACATTCGGATCTCTGTCGTCTGATATGCTCAATCAGTTTCAGTCATCCGGTGGAGACAACCGAGGAGGCAGCCGAGGAAGCAACCGAGGAGGCAACCGAGGAGGCAACCGAGGCAGCCGAGGAGGTACCCGACCCTTGGACACCGTGGATGCAGAAGAGGATCATCATCGTGACTGTGATGATAATGATGAAGAATATGATTATGATGATTCTAATTTTTATCATAATGGAGTCCGACGTACAGGCATGTAATTACATAATATTGTTTAACATTGTATGGATTTTGTTTTTATAATTCAGTCTGTAATAACATTGTTTATGTTTAAGATTGTATGGAATTTATTTTTATTCTAATTGCTTTAAAGTAAAATTAAAATAATTTTTTATTTTTTTATTTAAAATCGATTTTTTTAAAAAATCAAAAACATTAGTCACGGACTAAATCCGTGACTACGTTTTAATCCAGAATAAATTCAATTTTCTTTTTTTTATTTTTTTATTTAAAATCTATTTTAAAAAAAAACAAAAAACATTAGTCACGGACCAGATCCGTGACTACGTTTTAATCCGGAATAAAATCAATTTTTTTTTAAATTAAACATAGTCACGGATACATGTATGTGACTAATTGCGGGCTTTTTTAAAAACGTTAGTCACGGACACGTCCGTGACTACCACAAAAAATAAAAAAATTTAAATTAAACTTAGTCACGGCTCGTGTCCGTGACTAACATAAAAAAAATTAAATTAAAAGTAGTCACGGATCTGGTCCGTGACTAACGTGTCGGAGGGCTAATTCCGGTCAAGATGTAGTCACGGATCGAGTTCCGTGACTAATCCGTGACTACACTTAGTCACGGCCAATGTTCCGTGACTACGTTCTAGTCACGCGGAATTAGTCATGGAACTAGTCACGGACAAAATCCGTGACTAAATGTGTTAGTCACGGACTTTTTACACTACGGTCCGTGACTAAGTCCGTGGCTACAGGCGATTTTTTTTGTAGTGATTGAGTTTAATTGTATGTTATATGCTATCTTATATTTCGGCCCAAATTTAGTGATCTTATGGATATTAATTTAAGTGGGCTAATAAGTTATCTTATAAAGTATAGGGCCTAAATGTGTAGAGACTCATGTGCTTGACTTAATCAATGATGGGCTGATTAGGGTTTAGCACTCTCTATAAATAAGGGGTTATGGTCCCTAGTTGAACGCGTCATTCCGTCTTTCTGCATCCCATCGCCAGAGAGATAATTCCCGAGGGCGTGTATCAGCTAGAAGACGCAAACCCTAGCCTCCGTCTCCCGGATCTCTAAAAGTGATCTCCCATGGAGTCAGGTACGCTTCCGCTAAGTTAATTCTCTAGATAATTTCAATATGAAGATTAAAGTATTCATGAATTTATTCCAACGATACATTCATACGTAATACAAGTATACTACGTACATCACAAATGAGCAAATGAACAATAATGAAATTAACCTTACATTTAAATCATGCATTTCTTACATGATTTATTTACTCTCTTTAACCACTACATGATTTAAATAATGTGATTTAAATGCAATTGAATTCCTAATTTGAATTGTACTCCCTCCGTCCCACTCACACTCAGATAAAAGGGGGTGACACGCAAATTAATAAAAAGTTATTTATGTGTTTGATATTGAATTGATAAAGTAAGAATAAAGTAAGAATGATTTAGAGACACAAACTTTATCAAATTTGTATGAGACAATCTTATTGGGGCGGACCGATAAGGTAGTACTTCTTTAGTAAAATGACATTTTTTCTATTAAAATGTCCACAAGTATGCCATTCCCCAAATATAAAGAAAAGAGAATTAATACGAAGTACAGAGTAATTGATAATGTACATTTTCTCATAAAAGGACACATTATATTAATAATTGATGTTAAACCCAAGAATGATTACTGGTCGAATGTTATGAGATCTGGGAAATGTTCTTTGCATTGAAGTTGGAGTAAATCGTTATCGCTAAGAACAGGTTGAGACGGCGGCGGCGGCGAATCACTATCTTCGCCGAAAGTCTCCCAACGATCCGTGATTATAGTCGTACAGTGAGTCTCCTTTGTCGCCGGGATCAACCGGGAATTTTCCTTTACTTCCGTTTCCGCAGGGGAACAATCTCTGGAGGCCGGGACTAAGCCGTTGATTATATCCTCAAGCTCTTGAATTTGATCTTTGCTGATTGGATTCGCCGTGGGAGGCTTTGCGGCATTGGTGACTCCGAGTTCATTGCACAAGTCGAAGTAATCGTCGACCAACTGGCTTTGGAACCTCACTCTGGCCGCGATTTTGAGCGCCGTCTCCGCCTCCTCCTTGCCGGCGGCGCGAATCATCGACAGGCTTTTGGCGATCCCGGTGCGGATGCGGATGTGGATATCGAAAATCTCCACCACCACACAGTCCATGGCTTCAATGACGAGAGGCACGACGGTTCCCGGCGAACTCGGCCTGATCTTGAATGTCTTGTCCAGCAAGTCCTGCATCTTTTGCAGCATATCCAGGACTTGCATCAGCGGCGGCGAGGAGACCGTAGGTTGCTACGATTTTCAATAGATTAATAAAATCGGCAGATTAGATTCAGAAATGGAAATAAACAGAAACTCGTTTTTTATTTAAATTACCTGAGCGTCGAGGAAGATTAGGGCAGATTTCTGATCGAGGAACGCGAAATAAGCGCGAATGAACTCGTTGTGGGCCCACATCTTACCGGAGAGGGAGCTGCCGTCCCTGAAATTGGACAAATCGAACGGCAGCCTTCCAATGCGGCGGACGGCGGGGATCTTCGAACAGAAAACACCGTGCATCAGCATCAAACCTTTGAGCGCCACCACCCAATTCCTAGTCTTCTCCATGCGCCTAGAAATCGCCCAAATCAAGGGCTTGAAAACGTTGGGGGAAAGCCGAATCCAGCGGTACACTTTCTCGACGCTCTCGTAATCGAAGACGGAGTCGTCGTGGCTGGTGGCTCGGATTACCGCCGCCTCCACCTCGGGATTGCGGAGAGCCGTCCTCCTCGAAAGGCTCGCAACCAATACGCTGTTTTTGTCCTTCAGAGCCCCTGCGGCTCTGTTCCATAGCTTCCCCATCTGTTTCGTTTGCGCATTTATGTTTACAACATGAGCGAATCCCTTTCTCCCCGGAATTTTGTATTTTGTTGTTCAGACCGCCGGCAATGGATTTCTCAGGCGGGCTAATAGCCGGCGCAAATATAAAATCAAGGAAAGACGTCGGGATGGCTCTCAATTTTTTTGGCCTCATGTTTTTGTTGGAGGTAGAAGTCGTTATTATTGTGAACGGTCTTTGTAACTGCACCAGTTCACCTGTTAGAAAATAGAAGAGGTTGTTGGTTGTATGAATAGAATAAGTGATTTTAGTGAGGTGTAATGTAGATGATGTGTTTTAGAGGAGAGCTCTTGTCTCTAGAAAAGTAGTATTGTATTGATGTTTCTTGGTTTTGCTTGGTTTGCAAATGAGTACAATGAGTCCTATTTATAGGAGCTAGAGGATCATTCTAGATCCTTATTAAATGCTATGATTCTAGAGTATTCTACATCTATGTCTAATTACTCTAGATTTTACATAAGAATTCTCTAGTAGAGAATTTTCTAGAATACTTTCTAGCTTTAACTCTCTAGATCATCTCTAGTCTTTTCTACATAGAATATTCTAGATAAATGCATCACTATTTAATACTCCTCCTTGATGCATTTGTCGGTGACTCCAAGCATTCTTCGCAGAAACTGGAATCTGTCTCTTGGCAGGGTCTTCGTGAAAATATCTGCCAATTGTTCTTCTGTTGGGCAGTACTTCATCTCAATATGCCCCTTTGCTTGGACATCTCTCAAGAAGTGATACTTGATATCGATGTGCTTAGTACGATTGTGCTGAATTGGATTTTTAGCCATCGCAATAGCTGACTTGTTGTCGCAAAATATTTGAGTCGCAGAACTTTGCAATTCACCCATGTCTTCTAATATTCTTTTTAGCCATATAGCTTGGCACGCTGCTCCGGCTGCTGCAACATACTCGGCTTCGGCTGAAGATAGTGCAACAGAATCTTGCTTCTTTGATCCCCATGAGAAAATTCCCGAACCCAGCTTAAATGCGTAACCGGAGGTGCTTTTCATGTCATCTTGAGATCCAGCCCAATCACTGTCGCTATATCCAGTTAGTCGTGAGTCAGGAGTTGTTTTGTACCAAATACCATAATTGATGGTTCCTTGTAGATACCTAAGGAGTCTCTTTGCCGCTCCATAATGAGTCTCAGTTGGACTTTCCATGAACCTCGAGAGCAAACTTGTAGCATACATGATGTTCGGCCTCGTAGCCGTTAAGTAGAGTAGACTCCCAATCAAACTTCGGTAATTGGTTGCATCCGTCTGCTTTGACCCATCTTCTTTCTTCAATTTTTCATTAGGAACCAGTGGAGTAACGACGGCTTTGCAGTCTTGCATTTTAAACTTCTTTAGCATGTCCTTAATATATTTTTCTTGAGATAAGAATATGCCTTCTTCTTCTTGACTTATCTCCATGCCAAGAAAGTAGTGCATTAATCCCAAGTCACTCATCTCAAAAGTGTTCATCATGTCTCTCTTAAATTCTTCAATTAATTTGGAATTATTTCCCGTGACAATTAAGTCATCAACATATAGAGAGACGATGAGAATGTCAGATTTACCTTGGGATTTGATGTATAGTGTAGCCTCGTTCTTACTCCTCCTGAACCCTTGACGGGTGAAGTATCCATCAATCTTGCTATACCACGCTCGTGGAGCTTGTTTGAGCCCGTAAAGCGCTTTCTTTAGACGGAGAACTTTTCCTTCTTCTTTGATGAATCCTTCTGGTTGCTCCACATACACTTCTTCTCGTAGCTCTCCATTTAGAAAGGCTGACTTGACATCTAGCTGATAAATTTTCCATTTCTTCTGAGCAGCAAGAGCTATGAGTGTTCTTATTGTGTCCATCCGGGCAACTGGTGCAAACGTCTCTGTGTAGTCAACTCCCGGTATTTGAGCATACCCCTTTGCAACCAGCCTTGCCTTATGCTTCTGAATTGAGCCATCGGGGTTCAATTTTGTTTTATACACCCATTTGACTCCAATAACCTCCTTGTTATGTGGAAGATCTACCATTTCTTAAGTATCATTCTTTTCTATCATTTTGATCTCCTCCTCCATTGCTTTAATCCAAACTTTTTCTTTGGAGGCTTCGGTGTAGCTATATGGCTCCAAGGAGCAAAAGTTGCATGTTTCATAGATGTCAGTAGACTCATATAGGTCTGCTAGAGTTCTTACTCGAAGAGGTGGGGACTCTGGTGAGGAGCCGTGATTTCTTGATGTATTAGCTTCAAAAGAGGATCTTGGAGTAGACGTGGGGCTTTGTTGATCGTGATTTTCCTCTTCTGGTATTTCCTCTAGTTGGACAGTAGTTGTCTTTCTTTCAACTTTTTCTGTCTCCCAATTCCAAGAGGCTTGCTCGTCAAACTCCACATCTCGACTTGTCACCAACTTCTTTGTCTCGAGATTGTAGATTCGATATCCCTTGGATTTGGAGCTATAGCCAAGGAAGATGCCCTTCTCTGTCTTGTCTTCTAATTTGTGCCTTTTAACAGAGGGAACATGAATGTAGCATATGCTTCCGAAGACCTTCAAATGTTTGGCTGAAGGCTTTTGTCCAGACCATGCCTCAATAGGTGTTTTGTTTAAAACCGCCTTAGTTGGACACCGGTTTAGAAGATAGACTGAAGTATATACTGCCTCTGCCCAGAACGTTTTAGGCATTCCTTTTTCAGCTAACATAGACCTTGCCATCTCCATGACTGTGCGGTTCTTCCTTTCGGATACCCCATTTTGTTGTGGAGTGTATGCTACTGTTAGTTGATGCTCTACACCTTCATCTTCACAGAACTTGTCAAATTCTTTTGAGTTGTATTCGGTACCTCGATCGCTTCTCAACTTCTTGATTTGATGACCACTCTGTTTCTCCACGAAGTTCTTGAATCTCTTGAATATTCTAAAGACTTCGGATTTTTCTTGGAAAAAATACACCCATGTCATCCTAGAGTAATCATCGATGAAGAGTATGAAGTACCTGTTCTTCGAAACTGAAGGCGTGCGCATTGGACCGCAAACATCGGTGTGGACAAGCTCTAGTATCTGTTTGGCTCTCCATGTCTTTTCTGTTGGAAATGGTTGCCTGTGCTGCTTCCCAACCATACATCCTTCACATACTCCTTCTTTTTCATCCAGTAGAGGCATGTCTCTCATCATCTTCTTTAGGTGTAGTAATCTCAAGGCATTGAGATTGAAGTGCCCAAATCTTCGATGCCATAGACTCGTATCACTCAGTTGAGCCACCATCGCCTTTTGTGGATATTGCCATTGAATAGGAAAATTTCTATTATTTCCCATTTTTACTTCAGCAATTTCTTGATTATTGTTCTTGTCATAAATTCGGCAAGAATTTTTCTCAAAGTGCAAGGCATATCCACTTTCCATCATTTGGCCAACACTTAGTAGATTTTGTGCAAGGCGTGGCACTAGGAGAACGTTTCTAATAAAGCGCGTACCTTTCTTTGTATCTATGACAATGGTACCTTTCCCCTTTGCCTCCACCAAATCGCCATTGCCCATCTTGACTTTTGTCTTGATAGAGGTATCTAAGTCATGGAAGATGGTCTCGTTGGATGTCATGTGATTGCTGCACCCACTATCGATGTACCACTCTTCTTCTTTTGCTTCTATGGCTGAGTGACATGCGTAGAACATGTACTCCTTCTCCTTAAAATCTTCAGAATAGTTGGCCTGATAGTTTCTTCTATCTCTGCAATCTTTTTCTTCATGCCCGAACCTCTTGCAATTTCTGCATTGTGGCTTTCCTCGATGGTAGCAATCTTTCTCTAAGTGATTAGTCTTCTTGCATATTTTGCATGGTGGAAAGTTCGTCTTCCTCTCCTTGTTGTTAGAATTCCCATCTTTATGTGGTTTAAAGTTTTCACCATTTCTCGAGTGATTCCTTTTAATGTTGAGCTTAGACTGGAAGGCACTTTCTAATGAACTTTCGTGTCGTCTGTTTAGCCTTTGCTCACGTGCTTCTAGCGACCCCATTAATTCAGTGATGGACATTTTTGATAGATCTTTTGACTCCTCAATAGCCGAAACTACTGGATCATATTTTTCAGGGAGACTGATTAGGACCTTCTGGATTATTCTCTCGTCGGTTATGTTTTCTCCAAGAGTTCTCATTTCGTTGACTATATGTATAACCCGAGAGAAATAATCTTTTGCCATTTCAGAATCTCTCATCTTTAAATTTTCGAGCTCTCTTCTTAAACTTTGTAATTTAATAGTTCTAACTTTCTCATTTCCTTGAAATTCCTCCTTAAGAATATCCCAAGCTTCTTTTGCCGTAGTAGCACGAATTATTCTCGGGAAAATAGTATCACAAACGGATTGTTGAAGAAGATAGAGAGCTCTAGCATTTTGCTGTTTTTGTTTCTTACGTACCTCGGAAGTTGATGCGTCGTCGCTTCTTTTTTCCGGCATGATGATTCCTTCTTCAACAATATCCCAGAGATCATGTGATTCTAGGCAAGTCTTCATACGGACACTCCAATAGTCATAGCTTTCTCCATTGAACATCGGAGTTGATACCGAGAAGCTTGATGTCGTCATAATGCCCGCTTATGATCAAACAAGCTCTGATACCACTTGTTAGAAAATAGAAGAGGTTGTTGGTTGTATGAATAGAATAAGTGATTTTAGTGAGGTGTAATGTAGATGATGTGTTTTAGAGGAGAGCTCTTGTCTCTAGAAAAGTAGTATTGTATTGATGTTTCTTGGTTTTGCTTGGTTTGCAAATGAGTACAATGAGTCCTATTTATAGGAGCTAGAGGATCATTCTAGATCCTTATTAAATGCTATGATTCTAGAGTATTCTACATCTATGTCTAATTACTCTAGATTTTACATAAGAATTCTCTAGTAGAGAATTTTCTAGAATACTTTCTAGCTTTAACTCTCTAGATCATCTCTAGCCTTTTCTACATAGAATATTCTAGATAAATGCATCACTATTTAATAGCACCGCAGCACGGAGTAGAAGTTGGACTATATGAAGATTTTTAATTTGATAAAAATAAAGAGATAATAGTTGTGAATAGGACTAAATTAAGATGTCGTTTTTGATACATGTTGATATTTTATCCGGTCATCATAATTGATGGTGCCGGGAGGTTGCTAAGGTGGCAGCATAGGCCTACATATTTTTCTTTAATATTTTTTACATTTTTTATTCTATGTTTTTACTCTACTGGGCTGATTACATTCCTATGTATTAGCTAAGTGTGGAAATCTGGCTCTGCGAGCTCCCTGTGGCCGACGAACGTCTGGTTGACGATGTGGCAGACGTAGGTCTGGGAGACGAGCGTCTGGCTGACAGAGGTGTAGCAGAGGAAGGTCAGGGAGATGAACGTCTGGCTGACGGAGGTAGTGTTGAAGGCCGTACGTCCTCGGGTTTAACATTTCCCAGATCTCATAACATTCGACCAGTAATCATTCTTGGGTTTAACATCAATTATTAATATAATGTGTCCTTTTATGAGATAAAATGTACATTATCAATTACTCCATGTCCCATTTAAAGGTTCTCGTCTACTATTCACATGGTCAACTTAAATCATTCTTAACCTTTTGTTTTATATATCAAATTTTTATGAAATTTACATACTTTTTATCAGCCTTTGTAGCGATTTTAATGTAGTTTCTGAATATGTATTTTTTGTTTTCTAAAAATAATCGGAGTGTGAATAGGGATCAAGTTGCTTTATCGTCAGTCAAGCAAAGTAAACTGAACCGGGAACCTCTATATGGGACGGAGGGAGTACTTCGTAATAATTCTCTTTTCTTTATTTTTGCAGAATGGCATACTTGGACATTTTAATAGAAAAAATGTCATTTTACTAAAGAAGTACTACCTTATCGGTCCGTCCCAATAAGATTGTCTCATACAAATTTGGTAAAGTTTGTTTGTCTCTAAATCATTCTTACTTTATTCTTACTTTATCAATTCAATATCAAACACATAAATCACTTTTTATTAATTTGTGTGTCACTCCCTTTTGTCTGATTGTTAGTGGGACGGAGGGAGTACAAATCAAATTAGGAATTCAATTGCATTTATTCGTTAACACGGAAGTCATTTATTCGTTCGGAGTGATGGAGGTAGTGCTGAAGGTCGTACGTCGTCGGGGGACAGCTAAGTGTTGAGGGTCGTACGTCCTCGGGGTCTTCCATGTGCTGAAGGCCGTATGTCCCGGGGGGATCGCTGCGTGCTGAAGGTCGTACGTCCCCGGGGTCTTCCATGCGCTAAAGGCCGTACATCCCCGGGGGACCGCTGTGTGCTGAAGGTTGTACGTCCCCGGGATCTTCCCATGTGCTGAAGGCCCTACGTCCCCCAGGGCCTTCATTTTCTGAAGGCCGTACATCCCCGAGGGCTTGTTTGCTTTGTTTGGGCCTGTTCACAGTAGTGGAAGTATGTGGGTCATGGGGTCTGGACCCATATACTCCATCATTATGTTTTTCTCTTAGTTTGAACAATATGGGTAGTTTTTTCATTTTTGGATTATTTTGCTTATTTGCTAGATACTCCCTCCGTCCCAATTTGAAGTTCCCTTATTTCCTTGTTAGGATGTCCCAAAATGATGTTCCCATTTCCATTTTTAGCAAATAAATTGATGTGCAATTTCAATTTTAACCTTCTCAACATCTTTAATCTACAACCGTACCATCAATTAATCAATGAAAGGTAGCAACAATGGATCGAGGCAGCCTTAACTTTCCACTGCAATTGCTTGAAAAAACAGAGGATATCTTTTCATTCCGGCAAACTTCACTGCAATAAGAAGCCTCTTGCTAAGATGGCTTCCACTAAGAACCGCCACACAAAGGTGGACGGCCGCGGGCAGCGGATCCACATGCGGGAGAATGTCGCCGCTCGAGTTTTAATTTCCAGATCACTAAGGACTTGGGTAAAAAGTCAGACGGCGAGACAATGGAGTGGCTACTCCAACAGACTGACGCGTCGGTGATCGCCGCCACCAGGACTACGACCATTCCGGTGAACCTCGCTTCTCTGAATATCTCCGTCAGAAACTCTGGGTCACCACGTCCGCGCCGTCGCACATGACAAACCTCAACAATTATTTGCACGAGATTCTTATTTGAGGCTAATGGAAAAGAAAGAGGTAGGCCCTGGGACGAAAGGAAACGATGCTCCTGTGGGCAATTTCGGAAATTTGATAATTTTCTTAATCTTTGCGTCCAAATGAAATTGGAACATCAAATTGAGACGGAAGGAGTACGTAGTATTTTGTTGGGAAGCAATCAGCCTGTTTTGATCGCTAATCAACCTGCTCAGGGAGTGAGTAGGCGAGTTGGCTACAAGGTGTCTACATGGGTCTGGATGATTTGTTGTTGGGATGATGATTTTTTCCAATATAATACTTCATCCGTCCCCTAAAATTTTGTCAAATTTAAAGATTCAAACTCACCTCGAAGACTTTGAAGTTTTACTTTCTTCACCTTATCTACTCCTTTGAATGAATTCTCTAATATCTCCCATGCTTCTTTACTTGTAGTTGCACATGCCACCTTTGCGAATATGACTTCATCCAAAGCTTGATAGATGATAGAGAGCGCCTTTTGATCTTTCTTCTTAGTACTCCTCAAGGCATTCTTTTGATTTTGATTTAAGGCGTTGATGTCATCGGGTTCCTCGAAGCCTTCCTCTACCATGTCCCACACATCTTCCGAACCAAGTATTGCCTTCATTCGAATGGTCCAATTATCATAATTCTCCTTTTTTAATGGAGGAACTTGAAGAGAACCGGCCATTTTTGGGTGATGACCGAATCTGGCTCTGATACCACTGTTGGAAATAAGTGAAGGAAGATTTGGAAAATTGGGAGGCTAAATTAGAAATATTATGGAAGAGATATTTGAACAAAGGGGAAGAACTCTTTTTATTGGGACAACTCAATTTGCTTGATTTGCTTGATACAAAGTGGTGGTAGGAAGCTCAATTTATACTAGTACAAAAGTATCTAGACTCTTCTATAATTAATGCATTCTAGAGAATTCTATACAATTAATGATAAGAGAGTTTTAGAGACCTTATCTTCTAGAGAAGCCCTAGAATTTTTTTCTTCTACATTTTTCTATTACTTGGGCCTTCCCAACAACAACTAAAAACTAAATATTAATTAGGCCCAAAAACAAGTTTAATTTTCAACAAATGACGGCGGAACTTCTTCGGCCACCGCTCGGGATGACGACTCTTCAGGCAGCGTCATGGTATTCCAAGTTCGTTTCTTTTGCGGAACGACCATTATGCGGCCGCTGATATTACGGCAACGGGCAGCATCCCGAAGCTGAATATACTTCATAACTATCTTTGCCATGATGGATCGATGACTACCTATCTGAGCTGATACCGGAGTATTATTTTTATACTGAAAAACTGTATGAGTTCATTATTGATGTAATAATGAGTAGCCGGCCGGAATGGAATACCACCTATATATATAACATGATCATGTTATATATATATATATATATATATATATATATATATATATATATATATATATATATATATATATAGATTAGAGATCATGTGAGAAAACCATCTTAGGAGAGAAAAGAGAATGAATAATAGCCATTAGATCTTGAAGTTTTTTATTATTTAAGCTCTCTCTCGTTAAGGGCAACAATGGGACTCTCACACCAAATTAAAGTTATCTGATTGTTTCCATAACTATCACAAATCTGTCTCTTTCATTGAATTGATTCTTTTGTCCATAACTATCTCCCTAGTATCTCACAAATTAAATCATTTGCATCGTTATTCATCTAAATCCATTCATGGGAACTTCATCAAGTTCACGGCCACTAACATATTATAGAATTATCCTTTAAGTTTTAAGTGTTATTTTTTTCAATATATTTTGCTTTCGTTTTTAATGTTCACATATGTCTTGGGTTTAGGTTTTGCGTTTCTCATTTTATTTATTTTTGTTATCTATTTTTGGGAGCTCTTTATGTATAAGAAAAGATGCAGATCATGTTAATAAGAACCACATGCTCTCCTATTAGGTTAACTAACTCTATTTGGAAAGCTAAAATTTGGAAATACGAGTAATACTTTAGGAAATAAAGTGTGCCAAAACTTGAGGACAGTAACGAATACGGAGTAGTACGTAATTTGATAGCAATCCCACAGTACGTAGGAGTCATCCTGGCCCTATATATATATATATATATATATATATATATATATATATATATATATATATATATATATATATATACTAGCGAGCGCACGCGCTTTGCGCGACGGCAGGTGCCCAACGCTTGATATGATGAAAAAACCGCTTTGCAAAAAAATAGGAATGCAGACACAGCACAAACGAGCCAAAAGGAATTCAATGTCATAAAAACATAAATGTTGGGTGTTTAAACTGCAATTAGATTGTTGGCCCAAAAAAGCAAACAAAAATATCAGCAAAGCATATAGCTAGGGCATGATAGTTTGGTTAATGCTGCTTGAAATGTGCAGTTGCAAAAAACAGTAAGCTCCAGAGTAAAGGGATAGCATAGTAATTGGATGGAGGGAAATTAAGGGCCTTCAGCAAACTCAGTGCGGGCAGTGCTCCGTATTTCATACACATGTGGTTTGCTTGGCAGTTTCTCCACCCCGCATGACGAAATTATAAAAAGTAGTGCCTGACCCCTGCCATGCCTAATGAAGAAAAGAGTGGAATGGCGCTTCAATTCGAAAGTTGTTTTAATCTGGTGGTGCATTGATTGGGGTCCAATGACAAAGTAAGCATCATCGTCGCCATAGAAGATGCGCACGCGGTTCCTCATATCGCTGCATGACCGAAGGAAGGCTTCACAGCATACCTGCAACGGGATGGTTCAAGTTTTTGCATAAAAAATACAGAAAACAAGAGTGTGAAATATGTGAAATGTATGCAACGGTCATCTGAGGGTGACATCAAAGGTATGAATATATACATCTTAGATGTTATTTCGCCCATTGTGGTTTGCCGCTAATTAAATGAAGTGGATTGTTTAATAAAGGGAATAACGAAGTACAAAGAAAGAGATATCAAATATTAATGAATGTATTGAAGCACATACCTTACTCGTTTTCTTGGGCACAAAGAGAAAGGATGGGTGACAATACAAGTGGTTGTATGAATAATCTTTGAAAGAAGACTCCACATAAACAAGGAAGTCATCTGTAATTAACAAAAGTGGATATGATGAAGTTGTGCAAAGGAGAATGAACAAAATGGTACACCATATAAAATGTAGACAGGTATGGACAACCAGAAAAACTAACTAGGGGTGAATGAGGTGTGTGGCAGTAAAGTGGAGACTATGTATCAATGTACCTGGGGTATGCAACGGATTTGAAACGCCAATGGGTTTGCCAGCGAAGTTAAGAGAAAATCCTAGTTTGTCAAACATGAATACTTCAAAAGTGAAGTTTCCCACATGCCTTAGGAGAGCATATGCGCCAAAGTCAATATTATTTTTGATAAATAGTTCAGCAAAGCCGTCAGTCAAAGCGCAATCGTTGAATTGGACATCCCATGAGGTTGTTCCATACACAAGGCGAGCATAGGGTCACATATGTTCGAACAGCCTGGGTGGAGGGAGAGAGTATGTATTACTCTTAACAACCTGCCCACCTAACAACCTGGGCTTATTAATAGAACTGTCGTCCTCTTAACATTTAATGCATTACTCTATGGCATTTTCGTTATTTCTTTAAACACTTTTGATAAAAAAATCCCTTTTGCTATCTACACACCATGTCAAGGTCTGTTTCATATAAATAATGGATTGAATTTTTATTAACTGCATGTATATTTTGTATAATCCTTTCTTTCATCTATGATTTCTTCTCATTGATGCTTTGTTAATTTTGGAACCAAATTTGAATTTAAAAGAATCAATATTTTGTTAGTGTTTATTCATTGTTGGTGATTTAATCAGTCTTCTACTACCTTATTCACATATCTTTATACCTCATATCAGCAGGGATTGTTAATGTGTTTTTATAATGCCTGCTCTTTTACTTATTATTGTTCAATCACACAGCCTGTCCGAAAAGTCGTAGCATTCATTTTTCGGACGTGCTTCAATTCAACGTTGTTTGGTTTCAGCTTAACATCCCCGATATTGACTTGGCTGTATGTTTACTTCTTTACGTTTAGTGATTGCCTCTTGTTTTTGCCCCATACTTGGTCACATTGATGTTACTTTTTTTTAACGCCCATTATTGTCCAGAAAATCCCTCCCTGCATGCACAGGAATCTGTTCGAACATATGTGACCCTATGCTCGCCTTGTGTATGGAACAACCTCATGGGATGTCCAATTCAACGATTGCGCTTTGACTGACGGCTTTGCTGAACTATTTATCAAAAATAATATTGACTTTGGCGCATATGCTCTCCTAAGGCATGTGGGAAACTTCACTTTTGAAGTATTCATGTTTGACAAACTAGGATTTTCTCTTAACTTCGCTGGCAAACCCATTGGTGTTTCAAATCCGTTGCATACCCCAGGTACATTGATACATAGTCTCCACTTTACTGCCACACACCTCATTCACCCCCAGTTAGTTTTTCTGGTTGTCCATACCTGTCTACATTTTATATGGTGTACCATTTTGTTCATTCTCCTTTGCACAACTTCATCATATCCACTTTTGTTAATTACAGATGACTTCCTTGTTTATGTGGAGTCTTCTTTCAAATATTATTCATACAACCACTTGTATTGTCACCCATCCTTTCTCTTTGTGCCCAAGAAAACGAGTAAGGTATGTGCTTCAATACATTCATTAATATTTGATCTCTCTCTTTGTACTTCGTTATTCCCTTTATTAAACAATCCACTTCATTTAATTAGCGGCAAACCACAACGGGCGAAATAACATCTAAGATGTATATATTCATACCTTTGATGTCACCCTCAGATGACCGTTGCATACATTTCACATATTTCACACTCTTGTTTTCTGTATTTTTTATGCAAAAACTTGAACCATCCCGTTGCAGGTATGCTGTGAAGCCTTCCTTCGGTCATGCAGCGATATGAGGAACCGCGTGCGCATCTTCTATGGTGACGATGATGCTTACTTTGTCATTGGACCCCAATCAATGCACCACCAGATTAAAACAACTTTCGAATTGAAGCGCCATTCCACTCTTTTCTTCGTTAGGCATGGCAGGGGTCAGGCACTGCTTCTTATAATTTCGTCATGCGGGGTGGAGAAACTGCCAAGCAAACCACATGTGTATGAAATACGGAGCACTGCCCGCACTGAGTTTGCTGAAGGCCCTTAATTTCCCTCCATCCAATTACTATGATATCCCTTTACTCTGGAGCTTACTGTTTTTTGCAACTGCACATTTCAAGCAGCATTAACCAAACTATCATGCCCTAGCTATATGCTCTGCTGATATTTTTGTTTGCTTTTTTGGGCCAGCAATCTAATTGCAGTTTAAACACCCAACATTTATGTTTTTATGACATTGAATTCCTTTTGGCTCGTTTGTGCTGTGTCTGCATTCCTATTTTTTTGCAAAGCTGTTTTTTCATAATATCAAGCGTTGGGCACCTGCCGCCGCGCAAAGCGCGTGCCCTCGCTAGTATATATATATAGGGCCAGGACGACTCCTACGTACTGTGGGATTGCTATCAAATTACGTACTACTCCGTATTCGTTACTGTCCTCAAGTTTTGGCACACTTTATTTCCTAAAGTATTACTCGTATTTCCAAATTTTAGCTTTCCAAATAGAGTTAGTTACCTAATAGGAGAGCATGTGGTTTTATGCAGTTGGAATTTTATTACCTAATAGTTATGGGATATTTGTTTTAATTAAGTTGTTCGATTTTCAATTTTAAAAAAAATTGAGCAGTTGTGTTTGCCAATTCCGACTTGAGGTGTTTAACATTTTTTTAATGAAAATTAGTTATTGGAATTTTGTCTTAATTAAGTTTTCCAATTTTCAATTTTAAAAAAAAAATTGAGCCGGCCGGATTTGCCAATTCCGACTGGAGGTGTTCAACATTTTTTTTAGTAATTTTAGTCCAAATTAGAAATTTAGAATTAGTTATTTTAGTAATTTTCAACTCATTCAATTAGATAAGCTCACATTTTATAATATGATTGTTTAAACAAAATTTGACCCATTAAGTCATATGAATTCAAAAATAAACTAAGTTCATAACATATTCATGGTACATTTTATAACATTCAAATAATATGTTATTTATTTTTTGTAGTAGATCAGATAATAATATTGAAATTTATGAATGTATCTACTTTGTAGAGTCACAAACTTGGGTGAAGAGTCAGACGACCCAGACTATGAACAAGGTTTTAGTAGTCAGGGCCGGTCCTGGAAGACTACAGACCCGGTGCGACGAAAAAATAAATGGGTCTTTTCTTTCCGACTCTAAGAAAAATAAAACTTAAATAATAATGATAATAGTAATAAATTACAGTCAATTTCTGTTAATATTAAACATAATAGCAAAAACAAATGTATTCATTAATAAAGTTCATTTCATGAAAAAAGAGACATTCTTCGAGCGTATTTAGATGCAAAGTCATCTACCAAACTTTCAATGTCAATCTCTTCAAGTGTTTCAGATTCTATGGATATCAACGTCAATCCATTGAGTCCTTCTTGTGACATAGTTGACCGCAAGTAGGACTTCAACAACTTCAACTTTGAAAAACTTCGTTCTGCTGAGGCAACCGTAATAGGAAAGGTTAGCAATATCCTATATGCAATAAAGGAATTTGGAAAACAACTCATTTGTTTCAAAGAATTCAATATTTTTATTGCTCCCATCTTTTCTTTTGGCAAAACCTCTATAAGCAGTTTCAGCTCAATATACAAATCATCACCATCAATATCACTGAATTCTGCATCCCTCTGCAGAACTGTTTGTAAACGAGTGCAACAAGATTTCAAGTCTAAATCACTCAGAGCTTGTAACTTCTCAGAACAAAACAAGAACCCAGACATATTTTCATACATTTGGTATTGCTCAAATCTCCGCTTCAACGAGCCAATAGACTGATCTACTATGTAGATAAAGTAGTCCACCCTGAACAGTTCTTCCGGTGTTGTCGCGGATGATACAGAAGATTCTCCAACACTCTCATCAAATTGCTTTTTCTACGGATAACACGCTTATGAGGAAACACCGGCTCAACTTCCAATTCAATGGCTATTTCTTTAGCATCCTGCATAGCACTCGAAAACCCACTTTCTCTGTACTTCTCAAAAAAAGAAATTAACCCTTTCACTTCAACAATAGCAACATCAAGAAGCATATCTTTTGATTGCAAACTTTTGCTAACCAAATTCACAGCATATAATATTTCATACCAAATAACTGTGGATAGCAAAAATTCAAAATTGCAAAGTTCATTTGTAGCTAACGATCTAGCTTCACTTTGTATTTTAGAATCATTATCTGTCTCTGCCAATTCAAGCAAGGCTTCTCGAATGTCACTGATCTGAAACCTTATTGCTTTGACACTTTCCACACGACTTTCTCAACGAGTGGTTGACAAGGATTTAAGAGTTAGTCCCTTCACATTATTTTTTAAAATTTGCCATCTTTTTGTAGAATTAGCAAAGTGTGTGTAAATTCGTTGCACAACTCCAAAAAATCCCTTGCTTTTCTAGAACAACTGACAATGTCACACAAAGTCAAATTCAGGCTATGACTACCACAAGGGGTAAAAAATGCTCTGGGATTTACATCCAAGAGTCTTTTTTGCACGCCTTGATGTGCACCTCTCATATTTGACCCATTGTCATATTCTTGTCCTCTAACATTATCAATATCGAGATCAAGAGACTTCAACACACTTTGCATCACTTCAAAAAGACCCAGACTTGTCGTATCATTCACAATCAAGAATTCCAAGAAAAATTCTTCTATTTTAACCGGATAAGCGGAGACATCAACACATCTTAATATTAAAGTCATTCATTCTTGGTGACTAGCATCAGGAGTACAATCTAATATCACAGAAAAATATTTAGCTTCTTTGATTCTTGTAATGATCCTAGTTTTTACTCGAGAATCAAGCATCTCTATCAATTCATTTTGAATCTTATGACTGAGACAATGGTGACGAGTATCCTTATTGTTAACACGTCAAATAAGCTCTTGAATAACAGGGTCAAACTCACCCAACATCTCAATTAATCCCAAGAAATTCCCATTATTATTCTGATTGAGCCGCTCATTTGTTCCACGAAAGGCTAAGTTATGTTTAGACAGATATTTCACTGTTGCAATCACTCGAAACAACAATTGCCTCCAAAATTCTTTTTCTTTTAGAAGTTGATCACGAGCCACTTTATCAATTGTCTCATTCCTTTTTAACCTCATTCTCAACTCTATCCAAGTTCTCATGTTGCCCATATGTTCTGCACTTGTTTCATGTTCTTTTAGTCTACCACTAAGATTTCCCCAATCACCAAAACCCGCATTGGCTAAAGAACTTTGTCGCACACCTTTTTTAAATATCTTACAACAGAAGCAAAACACTTTATCAAGCTCTATTGAATAAACGAGCCAATCCCTATCATATTTCTCTCCATTAAACAAATTACTTGTGTAAAACACGGTTGAGAATTTTGTAGGAATTTATCCTTAGGCCCTTTGACAAAAGTTAAATCTCTTTTAGGACCATTTTCCACCAAAATGTCAATCATTTTTGAATCAAGAGAATCTCAATTTCTTGGATCATATATGTCTAACAAGGCAAAGAAAATTGGCCTATCATCCAGAGTATCATTTCTGATGTCTTCACTATCAGGATCCTCAAAATTGTCATTATCAACTGATTTCGAATTTGGATCATTGTCACAATGATCTCCTATTTCAACAATTTTGTCAACATCAATATCCTCTTTTTCACCCTCTGTTTCCTCTCTAGCTTCTTTGATAATGAATTTATCAAGAGCTCCTTTTTGGGACAAAGTTAAGTTATCAATTCTTCTTTTCTTTTCACGCTTCTCATGTCCAGAATTATATTTCCTTGGAAACATAATTCCTATAATCATGTAAAAGTTTATAAATTGAAGTTAAAAATTAATTTTTAATTTTTACTTAATAACTTTAACCCACCACCAAAAAAGTAATAAGAAATAACATATTTTTACATTTACATCAAATTATTAAACATAAATAATGTAATTAATTCATCAATTAATTACACAAAATAAAAAACAACAGCCACGATACCTATTACCGAATTTGTTAAACTTCATAGGAAATAATTAGGAGGCCTAAGGCATAAACAATAAATAATCAACTCCACATTTCTACTAAATTACTAATAATCCAAAGTCCCAAACATATAACAAAAACAATTAAAACAGTCTAATAGAAGTATAAAACTTACCTGCAAACTGCAAAGGCCAAGGGACTGAAGGGAGATTCGAGACTTGCCGCTGTCGCTGCTGAACCGGCGGACAGGGGACTGCTGAAGCCCGGAGGTGAGATTCTACAGCTGGACTGCTGGACGGCCGTCGCCCGGAGCCCTGGACCTGGCCGAGAATCCGAGATGCCTAACGTTCTGCTGCGAATTGCGATGAATGCCTAAGAGGCCTCGACCGGCTCCACGCAACCTGCGTTCTTTCGTGAATCGAACAAAGGTCTGTTTTGTTTTTGTTGTCCGACTTATCTCAGGTTGTGGGCTTTTGTGTTTATATTGGACTTGGGCTGCTGGAAATACCTAATACTAATACTATTTTTTTGGGGGCCCTCATAATTTAGAGGCCCTGTGCAGTGACACTGGATCTCCCTCCCCTGGGCCAGCCCTGTTAGTAGTGATGTTGGTTCATCCATGAGCGATGATAGTGATGAGGTAGTAGACACCACATGGGCCAATGTGGAGCGATGATAGTGACGAGGTAGTAGACACCATATGTTCAAGCGGTAGATTCTGAGCCTGAAAGGATCGAAGTCGGCGCATTTTACCCTTCATATGATGCACTGAAAGAAGCGGTGGCGAGAGAAAACATTCGTCAATTCAGAACGAATGACAAAAGACCACGGTCCTAGAAGGCTGTTTGCATATGCCCGACTATTATATTAGTCTTGATCTAGATAATATGTATATGGTGGTGGATAATCTAATTGGGCCATAGAAAGGCATAGGGTTGACCGATTGGTCAAACGAGACCCAATTACCAGTTTTGGTAATTTATCGGGTAGCAGTGCGAAATGAATTTCGGAGACTTCTAAATTAAATTAGGGGAATGTATATTCATTCTAAGGTCCAATAATGATTGAGTACCCTTGGGCGGTAAATGATCTAGAATACTCCTGGTTGGGGTTGAGTACCCTTGGGCGGTAAATGATCCAGAATACTCTAGGTTGGGGTTGATAACCCTTGGACGGTAAATGATCCTAAAATATTGGTTTTAATATGGAAATTATTTATAAATTTATAAATATTAGATTCATATCAGTACTTTACACAGCGAGGGTTTGGAACACTGGCGGCGGGGACATATCCGGTCCGAGCACCCAGCCTATCGTTAAACAAAGACGAAGACTCAAACCGTGACATTATTTATCATTATACGATAGTATGTAGTATTAAAGTTATTATTGTATGTACTCCCTCCGTCCCTTAAAACTTTACCATCTTTCATTTTTGGGACGTCCCAAAAAACTTTGTCACTTTCTCTTATCAATTATTTGTGGTTCCTGTTATTTCTCTGTCCTCTGCAGAAACCTCAACCACACAGTTTTTACTTTATTATTCTCCATGCCGGTCAAACATGGCAAAGTTTTAAGGGACGGAGGTAGTATATATTTATTAATAAATTACATTGATAGATTATATTCTAGAGAGAAGTGAGAGCTAGAGAGAGAAGTGCAAGTAAATGCTTCAATAAATGATTTTACAACCCTTACAACTACCTCCAGAGGAAGTATTTATAGAAAAAATACGGGCTGGGCTCCCAAGCCTTGGGCTTGGGAGGCCCATTTACAACTGGACCGCTATTGGGTCGGATACAAAGTAAATGATGGAGTATACAAATGAGTAAGTGTAAAATCCGGTTCTGGGAGTTCTTTATGGCCGACGAGGGCCCCGGCCGACGAGTACACGGCCGACGAAGACCCGGCCGACGAGGCCACCTGATTCTTCTGGCTTCCGGATCATGTTCTGGGTTGACTTTGTCTCAGCCGATGAGGGTCATCTGGCCGATGAGGATCCCACTGGGTGACAGCTGTGCCTTCTGTTTTCCTGAGTATGTGAGTCCTGAGACCTAGACTCATATACTCCATCATACATTGTTATTGAAATTACAAAAATTGCATTTTAAAAAAATCAAATTGGTATTTCATTTTATGAATTTAATTCATAATACTCATGGATTAAAAAATAAAATAAAGTAACAATATTACTTTTAAAATTCAGAAATACAAATAAATAATAAACTTAAATTCAAAAATATAATAATAAAGTATATGGTTTTCAGTAGGAGGAGTAGTAGTAACATTAGTAGGAGGAGTAGCAGTAGCAGTAGTAAGAAGAGTAGTAGTAGTAGCAGCAGCAGTAGTAGGAGTAGTTGTAGTAGTAGTAGTAGCAGTAGTAGTAGGAGTAGTAGTAGGAGGAGTAGTAGTAGTAAAAGGAGGAGTAGTAGTAGGAGGAGGAGGAGTAGCAGCAGTAGTAGGAGTAGTAGTAGTAGCAGTATTAGGAGTAGTAGAAGCAGTAGTCGTATGATAACTATATTTAAAAATTACATGCACAATATTGATGTCATATGAGAGATAATGAAAAACTATTTAATTTGATATTTTTTAAAAATAAATAAGATAATAAATAAAAAAGTTATTGTGATTTCAAGATTAAAAATAATAATAAGCTAGGTTCCAACTTCCAACTAGTCCACGTGTTTATGTTGTGAGCATGTAGTATGTCAAAATTAATTATTAGGCTATAAAATTCAAAACAAAAACGTATGTCGGATTCTTGAATTCAGACTTGGAATTACGTAGAGTAAAGAGTACATTATATTGCATTTGATCTTTTTAAGTACACAAATTCGAATTTTTAGTGTTAATTAATACACTCGTTAAATTAACATGTTAATACGACTGAGTTGGCTAACAGAATGCTAATATGTCGACTTTTTGAAGGTCTACACCAGCCCCAGTCACTTAATCGACTTTCTCTTAGTTGACGTTAGTCCTCCACATGTCAACTTCTCCTTGGTCGATGCGCCCTTGTTGGCCGACGCCCCCATAGGTCGACCTCTGAAGGTCGATTTTTCCTTTTTTTGTCGACTTCAAGAAGGTCGTCACCATAACATTAGTCCATTACCCCTTCTTACTCGACATTCCATTAGCCAACTCAACTGTATTAACTTTTTTTTATCATCAAAACATGCATCTATTCATATCAAAAGATTCAGGATCATTACATAAAGCAAAGAGAAAATAAAACAGACACCAACTGTAACTCCAACAACTACGACTGTAACCCTATGGTGAGACTTTGTGACGGTCACTCCTGAGAGAACAACACGAAACGCTAACCATATAGTGGGCTTGACACAGCCAAAACTATTCACATAGATCCAACCATACCCAATGACACAACCAAAACTCAGCTGTATTAACTTGTTAATCTAACAAATGTACTCAATTAACACTGAAGTCCTGAATTTATGTACTTAAAGAGATCAAATGCAATATAGTGTACTCTTTACTCTAGCTCGTACAAGTTGGTGTACTCAATTAACCCTTTCCTCAAAAAAACATGTGGTAGGATTAAGGAAATCCAGGTATGATTAAAATTTTGAGACAAATCCGACTATGATCAAATGCATGTTTGCCATTTTAAAAAATATGCCCGTATTAGGTTTAATGAAGTTAAACGATTTAAACAGATAAATATAATCACATAAATTAAAAATGATGAATTCAATCGGATAAATTTTATCAGATAAATTTAATCAAATAAGATTTTATTAGATAAATATAATCAAATAAGTTCAATCAGATAAAATTTAATCAAATAAATATAAATAGATAAATTGAATCAGATAACATTTAATCAGATAAATATAATCAAATAAATTTAATCACATAAAATTTAATCAGATAAAATTAATCGGATAAAATTTAATCGGATAAATTTAATCATATAAAATTTAATCAGATAAGTTCAATCAGATATAATTTAATGAGATAAATATTATTGTAAAATAAATAAATAAAACTTAACATTAAAACTCAAAAATACAAATAAATAAACTTTTCATTTCTGAAAAATACAAATAAACAAATAAATGAATTCAGAAATACAAAACTCAACATTATTAAAAAAGAGGTTAGTTGGATTCAGCTAGACAAGAAATACAAAAGAGAAATTTACCCTAATAAGACTAAAAGCTAATAAGTTTCCAAAAGTAGGACCACTTACCCTCGTAGGACCAAACATGAATGTATTTGACCATAATACCCTTATTTTAAATGAGATGACGTCTTCGACCATATGACCTCATAATTCATCCCAACGGCAAAATCCAATACTCTCAAACCTTCTGGTGCGCTAATCCTCGCGCCAATGGTGAAAGGACGAAAGAAAACAACTGACGAACCTCCCGCGCAGCACGCACCAGTCCAAGAAAATAATGGCGAACAAAATCAAGTCAGTGAAGCAGAAGAAATGGCAAAGAGGAAGAAAATAGAGGACGAGGATGACGTTGAAAGACATCAACAACCACGTCAAGAGAAATCAGACAGTGATTTCGAAACAAGGAAACCTAATAATAATGAAATCGTTCTTCCCTCTGGCCAGGTAATAATAGTGTTGTTGAATATAAAACAAGTGATTGTGCTGATATATTGACTACAGTTCTATTTTGAATTCAATTGGTTTGTGGTTGAGTGATAAAAAACGTATGATCAGAGTTCTAATGTTGAATTATGTTGTGATACACACTAAATAAGTAATATGTGAAATAGTAGACTGTATAGTAGACTGTAGATACATAAAAATTGGTTAACCAGGTAATAATAGTGTTGTTGAATATAAAACAAGTGATTGTGCTGATATATTGACTACAGTTATATTTTGAATTCAATTGGTTTGTGGTTGAGTGACTAAAAATGTATGATCAGAGTTCTAATGTTAGATTATGTTGTGATAGACACTAAATAAGTAATATGTGAAATAGTAGACTCTAGATACATAAAAATTGGTTAACCAGGCAATAATTGTGTTGTTGAATATAAAACAAGTGATTGTGCTGATATATTGAGTTCAGTACAATTTTGAATTAAATTATAAGAGCTGTACTATTATATTATATTGTGATAGACAATAAATAGGTATTAATATTGTTGTTGGATATAAAACAGGTGATTGTAAGATCATGTATGAGCCCTGTTATGGTGACCAAAAAGAGTATCAGGCTGAACTGCTATACCAATGTCCATACTGCCATGGAAAGCATAAGAAAACTCCTAAATGAACAGGAACTCTAGGCATTTAAGGAAACAATTTTGGGAGGCTTGTTAGAAATAGGAAATCTTGAATGGATGAATGGTCAACTTCTTGTTCTAATAGCAGAAAACCACGTTAAAAAGCTTAATAAGAAGGTCTGGAAAGACAGGATTTATTTTCACATAGGTAATAAA